AAAAAAAACCTAAGTGGCTCCCAGCATGGGGTCTGGGGGAATGTGGACTCCCCTGGCAGGACCAAGCAATCCAGAGTATGCTGACATCACTGTGTTAGTCCCCACCCTGCTTAGGAAAGAGGTTAGCATGGGCCCCTGTCTCAGGCCCTACTTCCACTTGCCCTCTTTAGAATCTCCCAGCCTGGGGTCTTCAGGCAGGTTGACTCGCCCCCTACTGGACCAAGCAATCCAGAGTTTTCTGACCCACATTGAGAGAGGGTGTGTCTCAGCCCTGCCTGCACCCATTGTGACACCCACCAGAATATTGGACCTGCATGCACCCACCAGAAGAGAACTTTGGACCAGTAACCATTGGGAGAGGAAGGAACCCCATTTGCACCCAATAGAAGAAGAGATGGGAAGACAACAATATAAAATACATTCAACAACAGAAAGACCAATATGACACCACCAGAGTCTAGGGACCCTACATCAGCAAGACCTGAACATTCCAACACAGATGAAACAGAAGAGGATGACCTTAAAAACAACTTCATGAAGATGATAGAGATCCTAAAAGAGGAAATGTGAAAATTCGTTAAAGAAATGGAAGAAAAGACAAACCAAAAATGGCAAAAAAATAATTCAAACAATGCAAGGTTTGAAAGCTGAAATAGAAACAATTAAGAAAGCACAATATGAAGGAATGCTAGAATTAGAAAAGCTGGGTAAACAATCAAGAACTACAGATGAAAGCATAACTAACAGAATATAAGAGATGCAAGAGAGAATCTCAGGTGTCGAAGATACACTAGGAGAAATAGATTCATCGTGTTCAACAAATACCTAACATTAAAAAAAAAACCCAGGAAATATGGGACACAGTGAAAAGGCCAACCTAAGAATAATAGGTATAGAAGAAGGTGAAGAAACCCAACTCAAAGATGCAGAAAGCATATTCAATAAAATCATACAAGAAAATTTTCCCAACCTATGAAAGTACAAGAAATTTTAGACATAGAGCAAAGGATTACCAGCCTACAATTCATACCACTAGAAAAGCTAGGAAACAAGGAGTTCCTAAGAGAGACATACATGGTTCTCTGGAGAAGGGGAAAGGGACAAGATCTCCCAAGCAAATTGGTATCATGAAGAGAGGGGAGAGGGAGTTAGGAGAAAGAGAAGGGGAGAAGAGGAAGGGAGAGGTGGGCATGAGGGAACAGGAAGATTGAGACAGGGAAAGAATAGAGGAGAACAAGAAAAGAGATACCATAGTAGAGGGAGCCATTATAGATTTAAGGAAAAATCTTTCACTAGAGAAATGCCCAGAGCTCTACAAGGATGACCCCAACTAACAATCTAAGCAATAGTGGAGGGCTACCTTTAATGCCCTTCAGTGATAATGAGATTGACAAACTACCTTATATGCCATCTTAGAGCCTTCATCCAGTAGTTGATAGAAGCAGAATCAGACACCCACATCTAAACACTAGAGGAGGGATACTTTCTCAGCCTAAACACATGGAGGAGGGCCTAGGCCCTGCTTCAAATGATAAGACAGGTTTTGAAGACTCCTTATAGAAGGCCTCACCCTCCCTGCTGAACAGAAAAGGGATGGGCTGGGGTTTAGTGGAGGTGATAGGGGAGGATAAGAAGGTGAGGGAACTGGGATTGGCATATAAAACATGGCATATAAAAAGGAAAAACAAAAGAAAAAAGAAAGTACAATAAGCTTACAGAACACCAGAGTGGACCACAGAAAAAGTCCCCTCACCATTTAATAATAAAAACACCAAAGATACAGAATAAAGAAAGACTATTAAGAGCAGCAAAGGTAAAAGACCAAATAACATATAAAGGCAAACCTATGAGAATTTCACCTAAATTCTCAATGGAAACTCTGAAAGCCAGAAGGTCCTGGATAGATATTCTACCAATACTAAGAGATCACAGATGCCAGCCCAGTCTACTATACCCAGCAAAACTTCCGATCACTATAGGTGGAGAAAACATGACAGTCCATGACAAAACCAGAATTAAACATTACATATTGACAAATCTAGACCTACAGAAAGTACTGGGAGACCTACATATTGACAAATCTAGACCTACAGAAAGTACTCCAACTAAAGGAAGTTAAGTACACTCACGAAAATATAGGCAAAAGCCAAAAGAAAAACAGGGTAAATCCACACACAATACCACCACCAATAAATCTAAAACAAACAAGAGTTAACAATCAATGGTCCATAATTTTCCTCAATATTAATAGTCTTAACTTGCCTACAAAAAGACACAGGTTAACACTGCCAGAAAAGGTAGGAAACAAGGAGGACCCTAAGAGACATACATGGGCCCCCCAGAGAAAGGAGAGAAGGGAAAAGGGACAAGATCTCCCAAGCAAATTTGCAGCATGGGGGAGGGGAGAGGGAGTTAGAAGAAAGAGAAGGGGAGAAGAGGAGGGGAGAGGAGGACATGAGGGAGCAGGAAGATTGAGTCAAGGGAAGAATAGAGGAGAGCAAGAAAAGAGCTACCATAACAGAGGGAGCCATTAGAAGTTTAAAGAGAAATCTGGCACTAGAGAAATGTCCAGAGATTTACAAGGATGACCTCAACTAAGACTCTAAACAATAGTGGAGAGGCTACCTTACATATCCTTCCCCAATAATAAGATTGATGACTAATGTATATGCCATCATAGAACCTTCATCCAGTAGCTGATGGAATCAGAAGCAGACACCCAGAGCTAAACACTGAGCCCAACTCCTGGAATCCAGTTGCGGGGAGGGAGGAGTGATGAGCAAAAGGGTCAAGACCAAGCTGGAGAAACTCACAGAAACAGCTGACCTGAACAAGGAGGAGCTCATGGACACCAGTCTAATAGGTAGAAACCAGCATAGGACTAACCCAGACCCCCTGAATATGGGTGTCAGTTAGGAGGACTGGGCAGTCTATGGGACCTCTGGTAGTGGATCAGTATTTATTCCTCGTGTACAAATGAACTTTGGGAGTCCATTCCACATAGATGAATACTCTCTCAGCCTAGACACATGGGGGAGGGCCTAAGCTCTGCTCCAAATGATGTGACAGGGTTTGAAGATCCCCTTACCCTCCCTGGGGAGCAGAAAGGGAATGGGGATGGGGGTTGGTGGGGGACAGGGGAGTAGGAGAGGGAATTGGGATTGACATGTAAAACAAGCTTGATTCTAATTTAAAGAAAAAAGAAAAAAATCTAAGTGAATGCCCAAAACAGCTTTATTCATAAATAATCCAAATATTCATCAAAAAGCCAACGGAAAACCTGAGATATAGCCACACAATGGAATGCAACCCACCAAGGAAAAAATGAACTTCCGGGTCTTTAACAAGGGCTTCATCTCAAAAGCACACAAAGTGAAGGAAACCAGATCCAAAACAATTATATGCTGCGTGGTTTTATTCACATGAACTTCTGAGCTGAACAGCTGCAGGGGAACAAAGGTGCACACAGAGAGATCAATCAGGAATTGTAATAATCCAGATGGAAAAGTCTAAATCAGTGTGACTGCAAAGATGATGAGGAATGGTCCAGTCCTGATATATCTCAAAGGAAATGTCAGAGTAGTTTTCTGGAAAACTGAAAACAGTATCCATGAAGCAAAGAATAAGCTAACTGGATGTGAGTACAGAGATGAAATTCCTCTTGATTGAAACAAGGAAGCTGATGGGTGGAACAGGCTGGAGAAGTAGATGGGGCCAGAATGTGTTCAGTCTGAAATGCCCATCAGATGTCTAAATAAAGGTAGCAAAGGTAGCAAACAAGCATCTGGGTGTGCAAGATCGCAAGATCACTGGACTACAGATAGACCATTGGGAGCTTTTTACTTCTTTGCTCCAAAAAAAAAAAAAAAGCTGAAGAGAGTTTAAACAAGAAAACACATGGAGAGGTGTTTTTATTGTACATAAAGGGAAAATCAACTTTTTAAAATAAAGAAAAGCAGTTTGGAGCCATTGGTGACAAGTGGGATCAGGGGAGTTACTAGAAACTTACTTTGCTACAAATCAAAGTCTTACACACTTAATATGTTCCTGGGGTGGGGGGGGCGCATCTCAAACTCCTCTGATCCTGTCTAGTGTTGGGTGGTAACACAGTCACCTTGTTGTGTAACCTACCTACCTCAAAGACAGAAGAGTGGCCACCACCTAGCATGGCTCCTGAAACAGTCTCTGCCAATTTCCCACTCCCTCACCTTCTTCAGTCTTCCTCTGAACAAGCATGTCCTTCGCCCCTCCAAGTTATCAGCTTCTATGACTACTGAAATGCATTTGGTAACTTGGTTCTTAAAAGGCAGCTGAAGGGAACTGCCCGACTCCAGGGCTATCAAAACTGTCATCTGTGTGGTATGACTTGATGAAGTGGGTTAAAAAAAAAAAAAAAAACTCTCTTCAGATTCCTGAAATTCCACTACAATTATGAAGGATGGAAGCAAAATGCCTAAGGTAACTTTGGATGAGCAGTACTAGGGAGAAATTAAAAAAATAAAATAAAAAAAAAAAACTGTAGATGAGAAAGGAGAGGAGTTGCCCCCCCCCCCACACACACACGGTGGCGGGGGGTGGGGGTGCAGATATGCATTCAGGCAAGCACATTTCATTAGGTAATCTCCATTTGGCCCACTCCCAACACCGAACACCTAGTAGGCCAGGAAGTGAACACATTCATTTTCATCTTTCACACCACCACCCAAAAAAATTGAAGTGAAAAGTAAAGGGGCAGCTCTGGGAATAACCTTAGTTTACTCTTCCAAGAATCACTTGTTGAGATAAGAAAAAAAAAAAAAAAAAAAAAAAAAGCCATTTCTGTAGAACCTAAAAAGCACCGTGAGACCGTGAGAGTGGTATTTGGGCATCAGATCTCAAACAAATCCTTGTGAATCAGGGACAGAGGGGACTACTGCAGAGGACAGCTGGGCACCCCTAGACCCCAACACCGAGAGGCGCACTTTCCCGCTGGCTTGAAGCCTGGGCAGGGCGCTTGCGCCTCCCTCTCTCTCCTCCGCCCTCCTTCGCCCTGCTTCTCCTCCCTTTCTCCTCCTCCTGTGGCTGCTGCAGCTGCCAGACCTCGCCATTTCAGACCCACCAGGCTGCCCTCCCCTGCGCACTCCTTCGCTGCCAGGGCAGGAGAGGGGCGAGCGGCCCAGGCAGGTAGGAGCCCCAAGCTGAGGTCGCAGGGTGCGCGCTGTAACCGCAGTGGCTGAACTGGGGAGTGTGGTGGGGTGGCCCAAGAATTGTCCCAGTCTGTGAAACCCGGCAGTGGAGAGGGAGGTGAAGGTGAGGGTCTAGAAATGCAACCCGTCAGCCTATGCCACTACTTGGGTGAAATCTGTTGGGATGGGCAGAGTGTACGCGCTGACTACCAACTCTGAGAGCTTTGCTGGTGACCTTGGTCTCTAGCTTCAGTGACCGATGTGTGAGATTTGAGAGGCACCTGAATAGATCAGCAGCTGGTTGGAAGCTAAAGTGCTCGGTAGCGACTCTCGCTGACAAGCTCCTAGTAGTTTACACCCAAGAAAGCAGAGCTCAATTCCCTGCAGGCACCAAGCCAGGCACCCCAAAACTGGCACCCACTGCTGCGGTGCAGTCTGATGTCTGTCCCTAGGAACCTAGACCCTTTGGGTACCACGTTTTGAAACCTGGGAACGAAGAAACAAGAGGTCAGTGACTTCGAGCTGCTGATCTCCACCCGAGTTTGGAAACAAAGTTGTGCTCCAAGAGCATGGCTGGAAACGGCGCTTTAAGAGGAGGACTAGAGAGATCGCCCTGCGGTGAATGAGATATGTGGGGCATTCTGCTAGGAACTTGGGGATCGCCTTCTAGTTTGGGCATTTGGGACTTTTTTTTAAAGGGGGAAGAAAGTCTGAAGCCACGTGATTCATACTAGTCCGCAGGTATTTTTACCAAGTTTAGGGTGGGGGCGGGAGAACTTCACCAGTTAGAGGTGATTGCACTAAGGTTCCAGAGAACAGACAGATGCTGCCCATTTCCACCTCTGCGGGTGGACGGCGATCGCATATTGGTCTTTGGAATTGTTCATATTCTATAGCCCCCTTTTTTACTCCCTTATTTGGACCCTAGTGCATAGGTGCTGTATAAATGCACGTTGAGCATCCTTGGTACCGGATGAATGAAATGAAGTAAATGAGGTTCGACAGTAGTTTCTCCTTAGTGGTTGGGGGCGGGGGTGAGAAAGCAGATTGGAAATTGAGTGTCTTGGGCTGTCTACCCTCTAAACATATCTTTGTTTCCCTTAGATAGTCACAATGTTGCAAACAGTTTTCCTAACTGTGCTGACAGTGGTGCTGGTCAAGTCACAGGACACTGAGGAAACTATCACATACACGGTAAGGGATAATAGAATTTGAGATAAAAGTTACTGAGTGACACAAGATAACCCGCCTCTGCCAGTGAAAGTGGGCTGTGCTCTGTGAAGCAAAGTTAGATAACACTGTAGCATGACTCAGATTTAAGATTCCTGATAAACTGCCCTGGGTCCTTCCTAAATTGTATTCAGATCACCAGATGAGATGGGCAGTCAAAATAGAATGACTTGTGAAAGGACCAAATGAGCACTTTAAAATTCAAATCTGTGTAAGCTACATGTTTCTATGCCACTCAGTACATTGATGGGTTTAAGGAATCTGGGAGCTTGGGTATGTGCAGGTGAAATCAAGGCATGCAGAGTATCATGTAAGGACATTGTCTCATCTGTTCCTGTGACCTCTGTCCTCATGAAGTGATCTTTACTGAGTTCATGGAGGCTGTCTACTCCTGTACAAACCCTGCCGAAAGTTTATCTGTCCTCAGGATATAGCATTTGCTAAAGTGGCTTTAAAATACACTGTGTGCCTACTGGTCTTCCAACTTCTATTGGCATCTCTGAGTCAAATCTGGTCAATTAATTAGTGCATCACTATAAAATATTCAAAATATCATCTTGCCCCTCCCACTGCCTAGAGGAGAGAGTAGACCAGTGTTCACCTCACTGTGATGAGGTGCTGTGTCCTCTGTTTGTGGTTTCTAACCCAGTCAGTGTTGAGATGAATGGCACGTGTCCTGGGTGAGTATATGAAAAACACATTTTTCTATTTCTCTCCAAATTTTAAAATTAAGTAATCCTACTGAAAAAAATGCAAATGTTTTTAGAATAAAACTCATAAGTGACTAATATCAATCACTAATAATAAACATTATCTCACTTTTGCATTATGTTATCCCTGGAATATTATTACCCATTCAACAGATGTTCCTTTCTGCTGTCAGTTAGTGAAAACACTGCATTAGTTTTAACATTAAAATAGAGAAAAAATTAAAGCATTTGCTACTTATCTTCAAATGAAAATGTTTTGTTATTCAGGCTAAGCTTACCACCTTTTCAGTGAGCTAACATTCATCTAATAAAAGAGTTGCTCCTTTTCTTCTGACACTGTGCCTTAGAAATCTCTATTCAGCCCAGTCTAGCCTTGAATGCATGATCTTTCCATCACCATATCCTAGGCAGATATTACTGCTTTTTGAATTTCTTATCTCATACCTTCTCCTTGTTTTTAGCAGAGAGTGTCCATTGTGGGTTAAGCCCAACAATTTTAGGATTATTATTATGAAGGTCTTCTAGACACGATGCCCTTTTTTGTGCTAATAAGCCTATTCCCTTTTAAGCTGTGTATGCCTAATAACTGATGGTTAAAGGGCTAGAAGTGACTAGCCATGCTTACTCACCTCAGTGTGAATGTACTTTTTGAACCCTTGCAGCCAAATGTGAGGTGAGTGACACTATCCTGATGATAGTAGAGTGGAGAAAGGTTATTCACTTGATTTAAAAGTACACAGGCAGCAAGCTGGGAAACTAACTTCAGTCTAGGCTTGTTTAATAGTAGAGCCATATTAAATGCACCAATGTAACACGCTAAATATCCTAAAACAAACTACAAGTCATATTTATCACACAATTATTGAAATGAGCGACCATTTGGCATGAAAGATTGGCATCTACAAAACAGAGAGTCTTATATTTCCCTTTCATATTAGAGATATGGTTCACTAACTTACTAAATATCTACATAAACCACTCTTTCACTATCAAAAGAAGTTAAGGTAATTTGTTTACTGAGACAGTTCAGCCTTCTATACTGTTGAAGGGAAGATACTGTTGAAAACTACAAAGCTTCTAAATAACATTATCATACATTATACAAATCACTAAAGAAGTAGAAAGGGCAAAATGGTTAGTGTCAGTACTAGTGTAAAAGAGAATAACTTAATGCTGGCTCTTGCGGAAGGTTCTGAGCAACTCATATTATTGTAGGAAGGCCTGGCACAGCCACCAAGACACCAGGAGGTAAGCAGGTGAGACTAGGAGAGTGGATGTGCAAGAGAAGCTGTGCATGTCTGAGGTCACTGTGAATTCGTAGGTAGGGATGCAAAACCTGACCATGACTACTGTACAGAGTGTAAGCAAAAGGAGTCCTGCTGTGTGATGCCAGGAAGCCTATATCAATATGGTAATAACAGAAATGGAAGAGTGGTCAGAGATTGAAAGTAAACAAGTAGAGACATCAGAGCTGACACCCCTGGGTCTTGCATAAGGTGATGGAGGTATCTTAAACAGTGTTGGGAAAAAGTAAGACAAATTAGTGTAAGGGGTAATGGGAGTTGGCCTTTCACTATAGTAAGTTTCAGGTGTCAATAAAATAGCTGACTTAATCTCAATGCCTCCACCAGCCAGGTACTTCCTAAGCAATTATTTGCACAGTCAACTCTCACTTCTAGACTCCACTTATGGAGTTTTCCTTGAAGCATCTTCTACACTTGATTTTTAGATACCATCTGATCAAAGACTCTGCAGAGGCTCCTTATCTTCTCTAGTGATGTTTCTCAGGGTGTCATCCATGACAACCTGCATGGCCACTGTCTGAAGTGCTTGCCAAGGAATCAGATCCCAGACATCCTATCTAGACTGACAGAGTCAGATCCTTGAGAGCACCCCAAGTGGTTCAGAGGCCTAGGGAAACATGGGGATCCCGACCTTCAGGGTAGAATCTAGTTCCTCAGTCTGAAGGAGACGGCTTCCTGGATTCAGCCCTGCCTGCTTTGCTGACCTCAACCCCAAGCAGAAGTACATGCAACTCTTTGCCTTTTCAGTAGTTTCATGACTGTCATAATGGTCCCATTCCTAGAATTTCCACAGCTCCAGGGCGGGAGGGGGGCTCATTAAGTAAGGCCTATTTCACTCTCACCTTCTCTGCAAGGACTTTTATCCTGTATCCTTCCACATAAAAGCATCTGTCACACCCCTGACATATCAGTACAACTCACTCCATACCCATTGCTCTTCTGGATCATGAGCTGCCTGAGGAAAATGACAAGGTCTTCATCATCTTGAATTTCAAGGCTGGACCATGCCTGGTATGAACAACTGATGTGGTTCTTCCGTGAAGAAGTGGAGCGAGGGACAGGCCCAGTAGTGGAGTAAAGTCATAATGTCAGGAAGCTACATACTCAGTGAAAGATTTTGGGTCCACAATGTGAAGGAGACACTAAGGCAGATTGCTCTTTTGGGTAAGAAACGTGCTAGAAGAGGTATTAATGCCACAGACAGACAGAAGCCTCATCACAGCAGATGAGATTTCAGACCCTAGTGCTATAGACAGACAACAGCATGTTGGAGGCTCTGGGGGATGCTCAAGCTCCTGTGGCAGAGTGAACAAGGTCCCTTATACACATACAGGTTTCAGGAGGGCACTTCCATGCATGTGGTTGATGAGTACACACTTCTGATTCATGGGCAACGGGGGAGAAAGTCTTGCATTTTGCTGAAGGAATGTGATGCTGAGGGTAGAATCTTGAGGATGGGAGTTGGCATTTAGTTAACATGACTCCACCATGAAGGGTGTTTCCCAAGTAACCCCTGATTGCTCAAATTTTATTACCCTAGAGGAGTGTATACAGGATGAACTGTGAGGGTAAAAGTAAACACACTTATAGAGGCAGTAGTTGTTATATGTTCTAATATTCCCTCCCTTTATATATATATAAAAATAAATTGATGAATAATGTTATATAGAGGGGGTTGAAATACTGAGCATCATGAAGTTACAGAGGGTAAGATAGCCCCAGGTATAACTTTTAGCTTTGGACCTGTCCACATTCACTGTTGAGGTGCTGATACACATCTGTCACTTGTTGAAATTGTAGTGACACAGTACAGCTTATGAAGGATCATGAAAAATATTGTTCTATGTGTCACATTGCCAGGAAGGTCATTCTTAGAATAGTCATGAAGGTGGGTCTTTGGGAGAGATAGAAGTAGTTACTAAAGATGTGAAGAAAGAAATTCCTGGATCATATTGGTCAGTTAGCCATCATGATTTGGTCTGATTTGTGTCCTGTCCTCTATATCTGATGTAACAGAAGTACTATGTCTCACATTAAAATAACCCAAAATGTAGTACATCTTGAAGTAAAGATGTAATAAATAGAACAGTTGCTCTTGTGTAGTATGGAAAAGGTCATTTGAAATCTTTAGTTATTCTCAACTGTAGTAAATTGAGTCAAAGCAGAAGAGTAATGATCTCAGTGGTTGGACTCAGTTAATTTTTTTTTTCATTAGCAAAAGTTAGGGCTTGGCTTTGAGAGTTTGGATTAAAATATAGTTTGCCCACAAATAAAGTTTCTTTTGGAAGATATAAAATAAATTTAAGCCAATTTCAAATTAATTTCTTTAGTACTTTTCAAAGACAGTAAAATATTTGAGATTTTTAAAGAAGTGAAGTTGGCCCACCTCTTTGATGATTTACTCTGTAAGTAAATCATCATAACATGATTTAATTAAGGATACAATATAATCTTTACCTTGGCCTTGGGAATGTATCAAGCTAAATTCCAATCATCTCTAACATATAACAGAATTTAAGAAATATGAAAACCACAATATTTCCCTCTAGGCTGAGGGGTTTTCTTATTTAATTGCTGAAATCATTTCATTGTCTTTAGTTACTACAGGCTTACTGTGGAAAATACAATGAAATTTGTACAGGGGCCAAATTTATAAATAGATTTAATTATTTGTCTACCAGAGTAAGTTTTACAATAAGTATGTAACACAGCAGGAATATCTCAATAGAAATAATCTTTTGTGGCAGACTCTTTCCTAATGTTAAGACCCTGAGTACCCAGCAAGTGATGGCTTCACTCAACAGGAAAACATGTTTAGCATTTGGAGAGATTAAATCATAGGTTTTAAGTATCTCATTTACTATTATAATAAAATGAAATCCTTGGGCAGTGGGGCAGTGAGATTTTTCAGTGGGTAAAGTGCTTGGCCATGCTGATAACCTACCTTCAATCCCAAGAGAACTGAACGGCAAAAATTGTCCTCTGATTTCTATACATGAGCCATGGCACAGTGAGCCCACATACATACATACATACATACATACATACATACATACATACACACACATACATACATCCCTAATCTAGCTTTTATAAATAGTAAGAGAGAACCAAAACTCAGGGAAGCTAGAGGCTGGAAAGATGGCCAGTCATTCACCATGTAAGTGTGAAGACAAGCCTTTGGACCCCCAGAACTGCGAAAGTGCTGGGAGAACATGGCAGCCTCTGCCATTACAGCCTTGGAAGGAAATGCCCAAGGACTCCCCAGGGCAAGCTGGCTAGTGAGACTTCCCATACCAGAGAGCTCTGATCTTGGTTGAAACTCTGCTTCATTGAATAAGGTAGAAAAATTATTGCGATCGTCCCTGGAATCGGCTTCAGCCCTCCCAAGCATGTATGCACACACAAATATACCTACACATGCGCAAACTTACACACATACATACATAACCACATGCACATGAAAACAGAAAAAAAAAAAAGGAAAACTATTGTTGTAACAAGGGAGAAACTAGAACATTAATTTTACGTCCATACTTAGTCATGAAGCCTGTGGAGGCCAGACACAAAGGGTGGAAAGCAGAAAAAAGGGAGAATTTACTAAGATGCTTGATCGCTTGCTCTCAGAGAGGAGGAGGGAGCAGCAGTGAGCTACCTTGTGGGTCTGTGGAGCAGAGGCCAAAGAAAGAGATTCTGGAGACAACTTAGGAAAAGCTGGTACTGTTCTCATGTGATCAGAGCAGGATATCTGGCCAGAATGCAGGCACATTTGTTACCTCCCACAGAGAAAGGACTCAGTTTCCGACCAGTGACCAGTCAGAGAATGAGAGACTTGGGGGAGGGGGTTGGATTTTTGGTAAAATCATGGGGAAAGAGTTACATGATTGGCAGAGAAGAAAGCAGTTCCTATGGTCAAAAAGGACTCTGGGAGCAGACCCTCTGACTACTTGCCGGTACTGTACTGCCTGGAAGAATTCTGACATAAAAAAAAAAAAAAAATTCGATTAAGAGGTTTCCAGCATCCATCTTCCTTCTGAGGGTTCAGCAGATGTCCTAAACGGTAAGACTCAGCTGGTTTAGGGTTTTATCTTACCCAGAATGAAGGTTTTAGAAAAAAAAAAGTCAGCAGACAGCCAACGTTCCCGATGAACCCAAAAACCTCACGAGCGGAGAAGCGGTCAGGGTGCCAGGATGAAGAAAAAAAGCAGTGGCAAGGGAAGGGGTGGGCAAGGACAATCGGTTCCAGTAGTACTCCCTTCTGAGTCGCAACACTGTTACAAATGTTCTGATATTTGGGGTTTAATGAAAGATGATGAGATACTAGGTCCCAATGTCATAGACAGCATGGCGGCAGCTCTGAGAAGAACTCAGACCCATGGAGCAGAGGGAGTCCCTTCAGATACATTTCAGAGGAAGAAGAAATGTTCCAGGCCAGGCAGTCCGTGGTATACAGTTGCAGGCAGGCTTCCTCTGGTTCCCACAAGGCTGTGGGAGAGGAAGGAGTACTGGGTTTAGTGAAAAGACTGTGTGACCCTGTTGATGTGGGGGGAGAGCATTTGGTTACCTTGTATTGACCATATGGGGTGTGTCCTGGGAATGCCTGACTGTTTGAACTTGATAACCCTGAGGATGGCGAGAGGAACAGCGACTGGTGGACTGGAGCTGAGCAGCAATGGGCTGGGCTCTACTACCCTCAGAAGACTTAGAGAGATGCAAGAGCTTGGGATGGGACAAAATAGGAAACCTGGGGGGAGGAGATCAGTCAGAAATTTGGGGTGATCTTTCTCAAAGGAGAAAAAGAATTCCAAGAAGATGGTGATGGGCAACCATTCCAAACACACTGAAGACTCAGGCCAGGTAGGAAAGAGAAGGGACTCCTAAGCTGCCCATTAGCCATACTTGTCATATAGGGAAGAATGTGGAACTATCTGCTCATCTCATTTCCCTAGGGTGCCAAGCACCAGATAATCCTTTTACAGTAGCTTCTCAGGGAGGTCATTATTTGTCTTTCGAATCCATGTTTGATGTTTTCTTTACAGCAATGCACAGATGGATATGAATGGGACCCTGTAAGACAGCAGTGCAAAGGTAAGCTTGCTTCTAAGACACCCTATCCAAGAACAGCTCTTTATCTCCATCTCATGTGTTGTTCTTCCTATCCTGTGTGTGCTAACCATACTCTTCTGAGAAGATTGCTGACTTACTTTATTACTAACTACAGATATTGATGAATGTGACATTGTCCCAGACGCTTGCAAAGGTGGAATGAAATGTGTCAACCACTATGGAGGATATCTCTGCCTTCCTAAAACAGCCCAAATTATTGTCAATAACGAACAGCCTCAGCAAGAAACACCAGCTGCAGAAGCATCGTCCGGCGCCTCCACCGGAAGCGTTGCTGCTAGTAGCATGGCAACCAGTGGTGTGGTGCCTGGTGGTGGTTTCATGGCCAGCGCTACAGCAGTTGCTGGCCCTGAAGTACAAACTGGCCGCAATAATTTTGTCATCCGGAGGAATCCAGCTGACCCTCAGCGTATCCCTTCCAACCCTTCCCACCGGATCCAATGTGCAACAGGCTACGAGCAGAGTGAGCATAATGTGTGCCAAGGTGAGCATGACTTGTACTGACAAGTAAGTTCTCGCCCTCCCCTCTTGGTGAGGGTGTAATAGCTCACATTGATCAAGGACCTCCCACACAGGACATGGTGCTAAGCATGTCTACAGTAGCATATGTCACCATTACAATAATCCTAAAAGGTACTTGCTGTCAATGTCATCATTGTTTTACAGAGGAGGAAGAAAATTCACCAGTGGTTCCCAACCACAGCTGCTCTATTTATAGTCATTTAGGAGCCTTTTATTTCTTCTCAGTGGCCAAGCCACACCCTAGCACAATTAAATAACACTCCCTCAGGATGTATTCCAGCCATCACTATTTTTTTAAAGCCCCCAGTGTGGTTCCAGTATGCAGCCAAGTTTGAGGTCACACAGGTGTTAGGCACACAGCTGGTGCTTAAGCCCAAGGAGGGGAGTGCCAGAATCATTGATGTCCAGAGAGGGGTCCAGTTGTTTGCTTGGAATTTGAAATGCCATAGTTTCTTAAGTTTTGTTTTTGTTGTTGTTTGTTTGTTTTTGTTTTGTTTTTGTCATTGGAGTTGACACTAACTTATTTCTCCCGCTCAAGAGGAAAGAAAAGATCCTACTTCTCTGTACAGCAGAGGGCAACTCTGCGTTCATGAGGCTGTTTGTTTTAAAGATCTCATTTCTGCACATTTTACTTCTGTCGATTGCACCATGACACCATCAGCCTGGGCTTTTCTGTTTATTTTCCATGAGTACACATCACTGTGTATTCTAGAAACAGCTGCAGACTCATACTAGCAAAATGATAAGAATCGCAGACTTTGCAGATATGTAAGATATCAACTAAGTGGACTATGCTAAGGGGTTGTTTGCCCTTTCCTTCTTGCCAAGTTCTCTCAGTACTGCTGGAGAGGTGTGATGATTCTTTTACTGAGACCAGATTATTGGAGATTCTAGACTTACTGCACATTGCTAGGGGTTGAGTAGGTGCTTGTCATCGCCTGCACACTGGGCAAGGGACAGGGCCTAGGAGCTCTGCCATTCTGCCTGGTCAGAAATCCCTCAAGAGTTAGTGCCATCAAGCATTAGTGGAACATGCTCTTTCTTCTCTAGTGCTTTGTTCTATCTTCACTATAGAGATGGGAACTTTTAAATGTTAACTTTTATAAGTTAAGTGAGGAATTCGCCCTGTTCTGGTTTTTATTATTTGATATTTTGTGGGCAAATTTTAAGTCACTCCACATCAAGAGCAATGATGGTGTCACCTTTCAGGGGATCTCAAAGGAACATCTGTTTTGTGTTACTGTCATGAGTCAGAATTCCAGTATTGATGATGAATGCTTCAGCATCTGCTTGATATTCTAGTATCTAATTTAGGATTATGACAATGAGATAAACTGATGAGGCTACATGAGAATATATGTATTTGGATGAGTACTGGTGAAAAATACTTTAAGTTTTTTTTTTTTCAGATATACCATTTTTTTTAGTTGAGCTATTTAAATACATTAGCTTGAAAGTTTTGATGGCATTTTTTTTTCTGAAATAAAAAATTTCAGATGAAGTTGTTTAGATTTTTACATTCTGAGTTATTTTTAGCCCTTTAGATATTGTATACTTTAATAATACTTGAAAGAAAGATAAAGAATGTGTTATTTATCAAAGTAGTTCATGGTTCATCATTGACACTCCTAGCTGAATTGAAGAACAATGCCTATGACTGAATGAAGCTTTAGAATAAAATAAATCCAAGACACAAATTGAGTATAATAGAAACAAACTTGTGAATAGTGAAAATGAAATTCTATGAATTTTGCTTTAAAATGTTTAGACTAATTACCTGTAGTTCTATGTCTAGGAGTAGGACCCCTTGAAATTCCCCCCTTATTAACATGCACATTGATAGTGCTGTTGTTCCAATCCTGCTCCTATAGTCATGTCACTGCCTCTCCCCTGACAGCTACAGGATTTGTGATGTAGATGTATCTGCAGGGGCTGGGCTCACCACATTCATTGACCTCTGCATTGTGTGCAGTTGTGGTTTTCTCTAATAGACTCCTTTTGCTGTAAAGAGAGGGTTTCTTTGGTGAGGGGTGGTAGCTACATTATCTGTGGGTATAAGAATAAGGTTTAGAGTGTAGTAAAGAATTGTCTGGTCTAACAAAGTGATGGCAATTGATTCTTTTCTAATACCTGTGACTTTACTAGCTCTGAAAATGTGTCTAGTTTTACAGTATAACATGACTTTCTTGCTGTTGAATGGGCCTTAAGTCCACTTAGCAATTATTTACCACCAACATGTTAGCATCACATATTGCACCTTTATGGATACCTTTCTGACCACTGTGCTTCATCTGGGTAGAATTGTTTAATTGTTTCCCTCCCTTGGCAGCTTGCATACTATTTTCTGGAACCATAGAGCCTAGACCATAGAAGTCATCTGGGTCTGGAACCCTAAGTGAGTGGTGTTTTCATCAATAGAGATCAATCTTAACCCCTGAGAATCAACCAATGGCTACATTAATAATCTATATCTTTTGGGGGTCACTTGAACTACTCTGACCAATCATTCAAAAGGAAGTTGTGCATATCCAGTACCGAGGTTTTCTATTGGCCTGTGATTCTTGTGGAAGCACTGCAGCCAGAGTGGTTTAACTTTCTTAAGACACAGACACACACAGGCATACACAAACACAGAGATACACATACACAGAGGCATACACAAACACAAACACAGACATACACACACACACAGATATACACAAACACAGACACACACACACACAGAGAGACATACACACTTCTATGCATTCTGTATAATTTTATGTAAATATAAAATCACGATTCCTTGAGGCTTTATCAAACAATCTTGGTGTTCTTTGTCCTTCATCTCCCTCCTCCTTCTTTGCTGACCTCCCTCCTCTCCAGTTGGAGATCCCTTCCCTGTCTTTCCGTTTCTCACTTCTCATCACCTATATCCTGCCATTTCCCTATCCAAACCAGCACCTTCCCACACTCTCACCACTATAGACTCTGTGTCTACTCCAGATTATGTCTTCACATCTGAGGATTTGAGGTTAGGAACCACAGGTGAGAGAGAATATATTGGAGTATCTTTCTGTGTCTGGTTACCTTTCTCAGTATAATTTTTTCTATGTCGTCCTCTTACTGAAATTTTTATGGCTTCATTTTTCTTTATAAGTGAATAGTATTCCAGTGTGTTTCATGTACCACATTTTTATTTTCTACTCATGTATTGAAGGGTTTTAGATTGCTTCCACTTCCTGACTATTATCCAATTAAAAGTGGGCAACCCCCAAATCATTCACACACCAACAATAAAAAGGAATCAGCAGGTTGTATATGTGTGTGCATTCACATACATACATATATGACAATATTAATCAAAGAAAATATGCTATCAACTTGGGAGTGGCGGTAGGTCCTGAGAGGGGTTAAGGAAAGACAGGAAGTAAGAGATATAAATCTATTACAATTTAAAACATTTCAAAAACCCACAAGGACAGACATATTTAATAAATAAAAAACATAAAGCTTTTTTTTTTATAAAGCCACTAGCCATATATGTAGGGTACAGTTTTATAGTGTTGTCACAGATATGTTACATGTTCTCTGTCTAATTGGAATTTGTATCATTAACTAGTTATTTAACTTTTTCAGGTTACTGGATGAAATTTTATCTTATGTTTATTAAATTAATTAGAATACCAAAAGACTACCGTAAAAAGATTTTTTCACATATTAAAAATACCATAATTCTTCATTCTCTGGATTTTCTAATTACAAATTAAAATTATTAGGCACTTCATTTATGGGAAATATAAATACATAGTTATCTGATATATACACACCAGAGTATTTAATCTAAACTGTTTGAAATAATTCAGCAATTTCTAAAATTTGAGCTTGAGGGTCTGTACTATGAAAACTAGGGTTAAAAGTTTTTTTTAATGACTTAAGGCTTAAGCTGGATTTCCTCCCACCTCCCAATTTTGCAAAGTGCCCATAAATGTGGATTTACTTAATTGTTGACAAAAAGCATTATTTCATATGATAACAACAGAATAATTTGTCTAGGGATCTGACTAATATAAGTCGAGTCACACTTGTGCCAGTTTATTAGTGAGCTAATCAAATACACAGCCCAGCTCCTTCTAATTGCCTGCAGATGTATGGTGCTCTCACTCCAAGCCAGCAGCACAAAATAACATTTTATAACCAGTGTGAAAGTGTGAGGCCCTCTGCTTACAACAACAGTGTGCTCCAAGGACCTAGCTCTCTGATGTCGCCATGCTGTTCAAGGAGCTCTCTGTTTTAATAAACTTCTCTGTTCCCTTTTAAATGCTGCATAAGTATGTCTAGTAAGCCAAACTCATTTATCATGGCCGGCTGAATTAGGACAAATGAAAGCTTGCACATGAGTCATGGTTGTAAAAAAATTATTTCTTTTTTCCACAAATATTTTCAACAGGTATAGATCATCATATAACCTAAAACTGAGAACTTTTTATGCAAGTGCTGTGGTCTCTATTTTGTTTCTGTCTTAAACAGAGCTTTCAAATACACCATGCCAATCACATTTTTTAGTGGAACTACCATTAAATTTTTTTTTAAATAAACATATAGCCAACAGCCTATGTCTTAAAAGAGTAATGAAAACAAGAAGGGCTTACTCCTTTCCATGTTTTTCCAGAGTTTTCAGTTTCGTGTAAAAACAAAAGGTTTGAAATATGATACATCATCCAAAGATCAAGTTGTGGCATGTTGATTGTTTAAAGTAATTCTTGACCAAAGAGAATCAGGAGGGGAACCAGACACATTGAGAGTTGTAAGCAGCTGGCATTATCCTTACAGATACACAATTACATGGTCATTTCAGGGTTACATATCTGAAGTCCATGTGATATCAACTACCTTAGAGGCAACAGAAATTTGTCTAGAAAAGCAATTTGGATAAACATGAAATACCTTAGAATCCATTAATGGCTCACTTCTAGTTTTCCA